CCACAAATTCGCCTGAAGCTTGGCCGCCAGCTTCGCGCCCTCCGACAGACCGGCGGGCGCGGCCGCGCGAGCCGGGGCAGCAGCAGCGGGCGGGTGGGGGTGCGGAACTCCTCCGATGGCCGGGAGGGGGTGTAGAACTCCTCCCGCAGGCTCCGCCAGGAATTGGCCAGCGAACGGGGCGGCGACCGGTGGTTGCTGCTGATGCAATTGCTCCAGTTGCTGCGCGATGTTCGCATTGAAGACAGCCTGCGCTTGTTGACCAGCCAAAAGTTGCTGGAGGACTGCGTTGAGATTCACGGCGGGCTGGTCTCCTCCCACGTTCACCTCAGGGTTTTGGTTGACGGGAGGGGGAGGAGGATGCACCACCACTGCTGCTGCCGCCGCTACTTGTGCAGCCGCTGCCGCCGCTGCTTGTGCCGCTGCTGCCGCCGCTGCTTGTGCCGCCGCTGCCGCCGCTGCCTCCGGCTGCTCCTCCCCTGCGGCCGCTGCTGCTGCGGCTTGTTCTTCTGCTGCGAGCGCGGCTGAAGCTTGCGCTTGAGCGACGGCGCTGGAGGGAGCAGCCATCGGAAAATCGATCAAGCCCTACGTCCAAACTCTTCTCCGTGCTGGGCACTACCTCGTGGTGTTTTCTTGGTGTGCTTGTCCAATCGAACGCAAACAGACTGCACGAGCGTTCGCTCCCCCACCAGGGGACGCTTCAGCTCTATCCCCTTGAAGTCGAATTCCGACACGCCTCCACCAAATACCGCTTTCCTTCAGAACGCTACATTTCTTTTGTATTTTTGCACTCACGGAATNCTTCTTGAGGCTACCGTGGTACGTTTCATGGGATGTCCCTTGACGTTACTGTGGGCTGCCCACGAATCGCCATAGGGCTAGGGCCACCCCACAGGGGCCGACACAGGCTGATCGCGACCCCTTGCCCCCCTTGGGCGGCCCACCGGACCCACTGTAGGTTCTTTTGTATTTTTGCACTCACGGAATATCCTGGTCGCCCGTAGTTTGGGGGTGGCGGACAATGGGCGGCCCGTGAGTCGCTTGATCGAAGCGTATGTATGCTTACGTCACAAACAAATGGCGGGACTGTTGTTGTTGTTGTTGTTGTTGTTGTTGTTGTTGTTGTTGTTGTTATTTTTCACATTAAACTCGTGTCAGTTGCTAATCCCAAAATCTAGCAAAGACTCGGTCCGTGGTCACAAAAGTGCTAGAGCCATCAGGACATCAAAAGAACACACACACTATTAGCAAGAAAAGGGTACACAAGCCCGAGGAGGTACACCTTCAATCCCTGCAGCACGTTTGCATGTTCCCAACTGAACTATGCCCACACACTTCAATTCGACTACAGCAGCAGCATCACCCCCCTTGTCTCGCATTTAGCCAAAATGAATGTCGACTACAGCGTACTGCTGTCTGATGTGCTGTCTGTACAATAATAACACCTGGTGTATGGTACACAAGCTCGGGGCATGCAGCTGCTGTCTGAAGTGAGTCCGTGGACATACAATGAAGCAGAACACCAAACCAAAGCCATCATTGCAATTGACAATCACCCGAATCTATATCCAGATCATCTGTGTTAGGCACAGCAGTGTAAACATCGACACTGACTAGGAAGCGTTCCACATTGAAGGGTTCTTCCACGATGCGGATACACATCTAAGGCAACCGGATTATCCGCGCCATCTTTGCCGCGTCTCTCTGCAAAACCAGTGACGTCACCACACACACCCAACACCGTGAAATGCTCCGACTCCCGGCATGGACAAGAATTTGATCAGCACACAGGTAGCACGTTGTAGCACACCCAGCTTCGTCCTGTTCCCTCCTGCCTATTGAAGCGGGATACTCGCCAACATCCTGCAAGGTTGCTTCATCGAGAGTGAGTACCATCAACACCCAAGCGTCCTGTAGTCGAAGCTTTTGTCCGCTGTGTGTCTTGGCAGGCAATGCAAAAGCCGTCTCCTCACCAAGAACGAACCGGCCCTCCTTCCCAGACTCGTTCTGCATTCTCATGTTTGAGCAAGGAAATTGCACGATTACTGACTCCGGAATGTTACGTGAGGAGGAGGAAGGGTAAGCATTGAGCGATAGGCAGCGTGGAGGAGTCTGACGCTTCATCCCGGGGAAGGGGAGGAAGTTGCAGTCATTTTTCTGTCTACTCCGTGTCCAATAGTTGGAGGATTTTGGGGGATGCACACTACACAGAACACCAGGCACGTCCTGTGGGCTGGTGGTCTAGCATGGGGAGGAGGGAGGCGGCAGCGACCGCAAACGGCTATGATATATAGGCGCTCAACAGAGTCCATGTGCATCATGCATAAACTCTACGTCTTGTTGTTGTTGTTGTTGTCTTGCCAATGAAAACCTTCAAACCTTCCCCTCCTCTCTACCCAGCACCTTCATCTGTCCGTACTAGTTTTAACACACGGCGCGGTCGATTCTCGTGGTCACAGGGGACACTGCACAGAACACCAGGCACGTGCTGTGGGCTGGTGGTCTACAGCATGGGGAGGAGGGAGGCGGCAGCAACCGCGAACGGCTATAACATATATGCGCTCAACAGAGTCCATGTGCACCATGCCTGAACTCTACGTGTTGTTGTTGTTGTTGTTGTTGTTGTCTTGCCATTGAAAACCTTTCCGTCCTCTCCACCCAGTACCTTCATCTGTCCGTACTGCGCGGTCGATTCTCGTGGTCACAGGCAAACTTTCCCAATAGAAGGTACGCTAGAACAAATGGACCCGAAGGATCCGCAATTCAACAGAAATTACCGACAGACAGCCCACAGGACCCTCCGATCTCCTCTAAAATACACACTATGTGAGGGAGACTGTAAAAAAGAACAGGAATAGAAAAAAAAAAAAAAAACACACACA